CGCCGGCACGCGAGAGCAACTCGAAGTGGAAGACACGGCGTTCCACTCACGTCCTACCTCTCTTCCCGCGGGACACGCGAGCGGGGAACGCTACGGACTCGGGGAATTTTCATGCAATGACCGAACGCTGAAATGTTTATTTATTTATTTATGCACTCCATATGCATGACCCGCCGCGATATAAAACGATTTTGTTATTCCGTTCGACCGCGGAATTTGATGGAAACCAATCCTAAATTGTGTGACAATCGAGACAGGTATACGTGTGATACAAATATAGTTTTCTTTTTTCGCGACAATTAACATAAATTGTTGCGATGAGAGACGTATCGAGATATTCGTCTCTTGTTGAGCGGCGATGAATGAATTTGCTCGTGTTTAGAGAGGCATATTATCGTTTATAATAGTCGAACGTATATACATATATACATAAGCGTCAGTCTCGTGCATAAAGCGCGCCCGGTTAACAATGTGTTAATAATATGTTGGATATTAATAGTACTACTAATGGCCGGATGCGAAATTCGCCATTCTGACAATACACTGATAATAGTATTGATCGGTAATTGCACGCGCTATTTTTGGGGGGTGGGAGGTATTAATGACAGTTTAAGGATTATTTGATGGATGCCGATGAAGAATTCATCTTGGCGTCTCGCTAACGAGACTTTGATTACATGAATATGTTATTTATGTGATAAAACCAAATAATGAACAAAATTATTTTGCATGCATAAAATATGTCCTCGTAAATAATTACGCTTTTTATTGAATATGCGGCTGTTGTACAGATTGGTCTCGTGGCGGTTCTTTTTTTTTTTCTTTTTTGCATTCAGTAGTTTGTTTTTCAACAGATGTGTGATCGCATTAATAAATTTCTGTCGTTTTCAACTTTTTTCATCCGCAAACTGCAATTAATACCGTTTTGTTTTCTTTTTTCTTTTTTTTTTTTGAGGACGTTCTCCTCTCCTCGCTTTTAATACGGTCTTTGTCGCGGTGTCCTAGCGCCACGATAATATTGTTGACGATCATGTTTCAAGGAGCAGCAAGAATTCCATTGCGCGCGATCATCGTAAACTAAATTAGAATTTTCTCTCTCTCTCTCTCTCTCTCTCTCTCTCTCTTCACCTCGACGCGTTGCTATAATAACAGCGCGAAACGATGCACGAGTATCGTGACCCGTTGCCGAAGACGCGACATCCTTGCTGACAGGAATCTCATCCCGCGGGTAATAGAGAGCGAGGAGCCCTCTTTTTGCCTGAAGGTATCACGACGCCATTAATATAGTTGCGGGGATGCGCGCTAGAGACACACACACACATACACTCTCACTCTCTCTCTCTATCTTGCTCTCGTTCGTTCTTGCCTGCCGGGAACAGGCGCGCAGTAACTTCGCGTTTATTCAAATGATGCTTTAGGTTGAGCCTTGAGCGTCCTTTGGCGGAGGATAAGTAATCCTAGCGGATTCGCGAGAGGCGTAACTCGAGAAAGAAGCGAAGAAAGAAGCGTGGCTGTAGATCGGAAAGGAAGGGAGGAGAGTTCCCGTGTTCGAGGGTCAGGGATAAGACGACGTGGCAGAGAGGGGAAAGAACCGAAGAGACGAGAAAGAGAAAGAAAGAAAGAAAGAGAGAGAGAGAGAGAGAGAGACAGAAACGGGAAGGACCGTGAAAACGGGAACGAGATGAAAGAAGACAGAAAAGAGAGACGAAGGGAAGAGGCGGACAAGGCCATTCGTTTCAATGAACAGCCCTCCGGAATGGGGAAACTGCTCCCCTCGCCTCTCTCACCTCGTATCCTTCCCAGACTCCTGAGGGATCTGGGAGATAGGATAGGATAGAACTCGGTATATAGGACTTTATGCGAGTCTTCTCTGAATAGAAAAACACTCGAGGAGAGGCCGGCGCGCACCGCCGTTCTCGCTCGCTCTCACCTGGCGTCTCTTCCGATTCTTTCCCGGCGTTGAATCTCATTTGAATGGAGCCCGCCACCTCGCCGTCTTCTCTTCCGCCATTGACTACTACAGGCGGATAGTCGGTTCTGGAGCTTCCTCGTGGCGCGAGACGGACCAATATGCTCTCCAAGCACGGTGCGATGCAAGACGGAGAGGTCTCTCTCTTTCTCGAGAGAGGATCGGGAGAGAGAAGCGAGGAAAGTAAGGGTTGCATCACAATTTGTGAATTCGGAGTTTTCCGGAGAAAAAAAAGTTGTTACATTATCCTCATATACCTGTCTCTCTATTTGTCTGTCTATTTGTAAGTTTCTCTTTTTTTATCTATTTTATTTTGCACGCCCAACTAATCAACTCGCTCCGACGATATCGCGCGGCGAGACTCTTTTGTTTTCAACATCATAAATTACTCGAATAAAGCCGAGTTGAAGAAAGTTACAAGTAAACATTCCATTTCCTCGGCAGCACTACTTCATTCGGGAAACGCACCCGTTCCCGGCTTCCGCTTGTTGCCGTTCGGAAGAGGCGAGTAAGCCGGGGTTGAGTAAGCCGGTCGCGTCATCGGCAAAGGGCCAAGGCACGAGCGTACCTTTCGGACCTCTTCGAAATGAGAATGCGAGAGCCGCGCGAGAAAAATAAGTTGTGCCGGGGTACAATTAAGGAAATGAGAGTCGTAAATTTCGGCGGATCGCGGCCGCGCGTTTTAAGAGCGTCTTCTCGCGCGAACGACCAAATTACTTCCATCAATCCCAGGAGCGCCCGGGACAAGTTAAGGAAGCATTGGCAACGCCCGTTACCTTAGAGGATATATCCTCCTCTTCTTCCCCCCCTTCTCCGCCCCCTCGTTAATCAATTTAACGACGTTTTTCATAGGAGACTGTTATCACCGAAACGAATTCAGGACAATTGTCAAGGTTAATTCAACAAACACGGAAAATTCGTAGTTTTAACTTGTCACTCACGGTCTTTCCGCTGATAAAACTGCCAATACGTGTAACAAATCTCACGTAGGGAGAGAGAGAGAGAGAGAAAGAGCGCGCGATCAGTCACCGTCGCGCTCTCTGCGCGCGAGTTTCCGAGATCTCGCAACGGAGAAACGAGACGACAATGTCCCTTCACCGAGAGTTTTTTTTTTCCGAATTAAATGCAAATTACATATCCATTAAAGACAAGAAAATGCGACAGCTTCGATATTTTATAAATGTCCTTCTTTTTTACATTTACGAATTCTTATTTTCTTTCGGTCGGGAGGGGGAGAGAGAGGAGGGTGATGGGATAATAAACGGTGACGGAGCGCGTAATTGTCCTTTAAATATTTCGTCGTATGAAACGCGCATTATCTACCGGTGCGGCTGATACCGAAAAGAGATTCGGGAGAGAGGAGAGAGCGCGCGTCTCAAGTACTGCGACTTGTTGTCGTTAATTACCGGCGGAGAAGCCGGTATAATTTATGCGCGGAGCTTGTTACCAAACAGGTGGTGCCTAGCAGCTAATGACCCGGGGATACCAATAATTCATTGATTAATGCCGCGCGCGCGTTAAATTAGCAAGTCCAGGTTTATCCCAGTATTTTCTCCGTACTCCGACGATAACAACGATCAAACTCTCACGATCATAATCCACTTTTGCATTTTGCATGACGAAAACAGAGAATTATTTATGAAATATTATGTGCTTTTTAAACTCGCGCGTGTAAAATCTTTAACGGTGTCACGTACGAGTAAATGATATTACGCGCTCCCGTGAATAAAATAGATTTTAAATCGCGTTACAATTCTTCCAATAAGTCAGCCGGCGTTGCCCGTCTCGGCCGGAAATAATAAAATTTCATCGCGACACGTTTACGATTTGGATGGCGCGATTCGTTCTTTTCTTCCTTCTTCTTCTTGTTCTTCTTTTTTTTTTTTTTTTTTTTTTTTTTTACAAACGTGATTTAGACCGTACTAAACACGGAGGAAATAACCGCGTATTAAATGTGTCTCTGGTTACACCACCGGTGCGACCCGCGTTGAGAATTTATTGAGGCTCATTCGCGCGACAGAAGAGGCGAGTAACCGTCGAACATTACGAACTCTTCGGAGCGGACTGGATGAAACAGCGTATAATTAGATAAGGTGTAAGACGTATTTGGAGCGCGGCCATGCTGGCTTGCCGCCAGTGTGTAGCCTTTCGCTATAAACTTATGAAAAGGGTCAAGGAGGCGTCCCTGGCGGGAAGAAGAAGCGAGAAAGCTTCAGGCTGTGCTGTTACACCGCCTCTCGCGATTAGATAAGTTTTTTCTTTTTTCGGCCCGGCTTTGTGCCGCCTCGTAGGGGCGTTTTTATTTATAGTGAGAAATACACTCGACGAGGTTGTGCCCCCTCCTCTTCGTTTTTAGAGCAGGTGCGGAGTTATTCGCGATCGAAACCAGACGCTAAAAGCTTCGGAGACGCACGCACCGCGCGTGGTTATCAGTCTACGAGGATTACGGAAGCGTCGAAGCTCGCGTGTTGTTATCTACTATTAGTGTTAGTAAACAACAACGCGAGCCGACGATCGCACGACGATCTTCTACCTACCTACGCTATCTTTGGCTCTTAATGATTATAAGTATCTCTTGTCTCTTCGGTACGGCGCTCGTTCGTCGCTGCGTAACGTCACTTGACTAGTCGCGAGCCGCAAGCAAACGTATTAAATAGAGAAACTAACAGATACAAGAGTTGATACAAAAACTACTTACAACGAAGTGTTCAGAACTAAAAGAACGTAAACAATCGAATGCTTTCGGCGATTGTCGACTATAGTCGACGCTCGGCCGTGCAGATATATTCGGCAGCCGTCGACCGAAGTCGACGCTCGTCCTCAAGAGGACTAACTTCGGTCGAAACAGACTACCGTAGAAATCATTTTGAATTTTTGTTAATATTTTTGTATACACGTGCAATTGTATTCGGTGTTTACGCAAAGAGTTTCCCGACGCCCTGGTACGACGACAATATTTTGCGTAAACTATTCGCACACGATATTTGACACGACACGAGAAAAATATAAAATTGTTTGTATCTCGTTTCAGAGAGCCTCAGAGAATATTTCACCAAGTATGGAGACATCACAGAGGTCATGGTCATGAAAGATCCCACAACGCGACGATCAAGGTGAGTAAATAAATAATCCCATTGTTTTCATCATAAAATTTTTCCATCGATCGATCCGATTGTCTAATTTTATATTCTGTTGAGAAAGCGGAACGGAAATCTAAACGTTTACAAAAAAAAAAAAAAAAAACGTGTGTTTACGTCCGTTTGAAAAGTAAAAAGGTCAAACGCATTTTCGTTCTAAAGAATAATACGTATAAATTCGAATTCTCTCGTGACAGATACGTTCCCGTTACGTGCTGTTCTTGCGGCGGGAATATTTATTTCCGCTGGATTTCTCATTTCTGTTTGTGTTTTCCGTAGAAAGGAAAAAAAAACGCGAATATGATTGACGCGTGCCGAGGGTAATGCGCGGCTAAAAGTAATAAATATAAATGTCGATCGGCAGGTATATCTCTGCGAATCTCTCTGAAATTTGTATTTTTGCGTTCTTTTAATCTCCCTTGTTTGATTTCATCAATTAAACAAACTCGATCAAACTCGCTCGCGGCGATATTTTTGACACTGCGGAATAAATTTACTTCGCATTATTTACGTCAGCCGGAGTACTTAATGCGCGGTATAATGTAATGATACATAGCACACGCTGTGCGAAAATCGAGTTTCGAGTCGAGTGTGTCGCTGTTAAGCAGAAAACAGAGTAACACTGAAGCGGATGGTAAATGCCATAGCGCACTAACATCGGAGTAATTACCGGTTTTTAAGTGGAGGAAACGAGGGGGCGAGTCCGACGATGAGGGTCGGAAAGAAGAGGAACCGGGAGCGGGAGGGTCGAAGGGGTGCGGTCCACACCCGCTAGGTACAACGGGCGTATATTACTCTCTCTCTCTCTGGTGTGAAAGTGAGGCACGTGCATTTTATCGTTTCTCAAATGTAAAAAAAAAAAACCGACGCGATATTTTATGTTTTATTTGAGAATTTTCAACAACAATTATTATTTTTACGCAAATCTCACGTACAGCTTTTACATCTCCCTTCTTTTTTTTTTTTTATCTATATTGATAGTTTTAAATTCTATGAACTTTTCTTTTCTCTCGTAGTCCACACGGATCGTCTATTGTGATATTCAAGTCGCTAATACCCCCGTCGTATTATCGAGCGCGCGCGCGCGGAGCCTTTATTGTATTATAAAAGCTCGCCGTCAAAACGTTTATGCGACGATAATCGCAGTCGAATTGTCGCTGTTTAAATTGCCGTCTCTGGCGCTTATGCGCCGGTTACCTCTCGTACCGCGCATTTCTCCGTCTAATTAATTGGCCAGAAACTTTCGGGCCGTGCCCGCCAACCTTCTCTAATTATTCGTTCCTTTCATTCCCGCGGGAGGGATGGGAGAGGAAAGAGGTTGGGAAACGCGAAGAAGAGAAGGAACTGCTGGACAACAAAACGAAACAGGGGACAACTTACTTCCGCTGAGTTACAAAGCACAAGCAACAGCCGGGCCTATTCGCACCCGCTTATTAAGCGAAAATAAAGCCCGCAAAATCAAAGAGCATTTCCCACTCTCCTTTTCAGCTTCTGGCATTCATTCGCGACTTTCTCTCTCTCTCTCTCTCTATTTCTCTCTCCCTCTTTTTCTTCCTCTCTCGCGTCCCTTGCTCTCTCTCAATCTTCGCGAATCTCTCTGCTCCTTTCTCGTCTCTTCTTTCTTTCGTGTTCTGGATAGTTTGAAGTCCACTGACAATTAAGAGTTTTGTTCTCCATCCTTTCTTCCCCTTCTCTCTCTCTCTCTCTCTCCCTACCGCTGACGAGCTCGTTATGAACACGTCTTGCTAGGTAAGTTCCGTTTGACAAAAAAGCTGAAGATCAAGATTCGCAGCGCGGAGATGAATCGACTTTCTTTAGATGTGAAATTAAACGCAAGACTATTAATGGATGCTTTTCTTTATTGGTGTATCGGTGTATTTTAATAACAAATAATGAATTATTAAACGTGGAATACGTTTCTTTTGAGATCTCTTCAAATCGGTTAAAAAATTATCTATTTCTAAATCTCTCGTGTAAATAAAGATCTACAAACCGCACATGTATATAATAAATTATTCGCAAATTTACTATATATTTTTATATATATAATATATTAATTACATGTGTGTGTGTGTGTGTGAAAGCTACAGGCACCAAGAGTCCAAGATATATTCGCTGGTTATCGTTGCAGATTAACCGAGGCGTGCCGTCGATAGATTTAAATTTCTTTCGCCGTGGCATATAACAGGGGAAGCTTCTCGGGTGGGTGGAGGTCGCTTAAGGGTTGGGCGAACGGAGGAGACAGAATGGAGAGATAGAAGGGACTGCTCGGGAGCTGGGGCGGCTGAATCCCTCAGCGCCACGTCGTAGCTCATATCTGCCGCAAGGGGATGCGGATCCTGTATGCAGGGGTTGAGGCATGGGGTTACTCTGCGGGTTGTAAATTAATGGTTAGCCCGTGGCATGGTGGGGTGCGGCCTAAGGGTTCTGGTTGATCTATGGGCGGCATGTGTGCCAGGTCAAACGGGTCTTGCCCACTGATACGAGAACGAAAATCTCTCCTCTCTCCTCCCCTTTCTCCCTTCTCTTCCGCATTTTCTTCTCTCGTTTGCTCGCATCGTTCGCTTTATTTCGAAGACAAGATACAAAAGTGAAAAATCGACACGTCAGTTTTTCACCGACAGTTGATCGCGCATCTCATATCTGTGGATCGCCAAAAATACGCTTTCTCGTACCGCCAAGTCGTAAAATAATTAAGAAAAATTTAAGACTCATTCGCGACAAGATTAATTGATCCTAGAACACGCGCGGGTTTTTTTTTTTTTTTTTTTCCTAAACACGATGATTTCTCGAGCGGGCGCAGCCGGGTTAATGATGGTTGCCTTTCGCGTTAATGTTCGCATACGCGTTCTCGGAATGTAAAAGTAATGCGGAGCAGTCGATTCAATTGCCCTTTTACGACTTTCCCAAGCGGTCGTAATAACAATGAGATCCCGGCTGCGATCGATGCATAATGGCGGATATTCGAACGCAGTTAACTTTGCTATATTTCTTGAAATTGCGCTTCTCGGGACGCGTGCGTTCTTAGAGAATCGATAATCCCGAACCTCTTGTCTTCTTGCCTTATCGGTCGTAATTTTCAGCGGAAAATATTTGAGATAAACGCGCATTGGCGAAAGTATTACATCAATAGGGGCACTTGGATCTGTGATAAAGTCGACGTTTGTACACGATTACGATCCGACTGTCGAGGTGTACTTCTGGCCGTTATTTCTCGTTAAAACGAATCGAAATCCTCATTTCTGGCGATTTCGCTTCCTTCGCGGCGCTGGCGCACGATGAGGAGCTGTTATCTCTTTCTTTCTCTTTTCTATCGACAGTCTCTCATTTCCTGACTTGAACTTATCAAGACAAATACACGCTCTCCCTCTCGGCCGCCTCTCACGTCCATCCATCGGAAAATATCTTTAATGAACAAACTATCCGATTTGAGCTCCCGCGCTACACCATCTCTCGACTCGACACGCCGTTCCCTCGGCTCCGTTCGCTTCGCGGACGAGATTCGCGGTTCGTTCGATAACCAATCTCAATTTCGACGCGATGTATCTGTTACGCGATTTTATTGAGACTCTTTATATACGTTTCTTTTTTTTTTTTTTCTCGTTGTTTCTATTCCGAACATCGTCATGTGGAGAGCGCAATACTGTTGTGCTCGCGTGGATATTACACGATATAAGTCTGTCGTCGGAATGAGAGAGAGAGAGAAAAAGAGTAAAGAGTTAAAGCTATGGTTGAAATTAAATATATAAAACCTCTGCAGCAATAACACGAAGCTGTTCGTCGACTCTGTATTTTATTTATTTATTTTTGTTGTTGTTATTACCGTATAAGAGCGTTTCAGCAAAGTGTACGGACTAACGATAGAAAGGCCAAATAAAGGATGATGGCGTGCGAAGAATGCGGAAACCCCGAAGAGCCGCGTCCGAGAGAGAACTATCTTTCTGGCGGGGCAATCTGTTAATTCGATCGTAACTCGTCGTTAGGAGAGAATTTAGTTGGTACTTGCCGGCGATAATTACACGGCTTTTGCGGCACGTCGCGGAAGAGAGGGGAAGGGAAGACTCGCGGTGCTAGGAAAAGCGAGAGAGAAAGAGATAAAGAGAGAGAAAGAGAAAGGCGAGAAGAAAGAGGAAGAGAAAGGGAGAAAGACAGGCAGATGCTGGCTGAAGTAGAATTTATTGGGCGATAAGCGCTGTGCAACTTTCCTCTCTTACGATCGTCATTCTTTATCAGCCCACTCGTGGCCGACAGCGACGTATCGGCGTACCGGGATAGACTAGGCTTTATGAATCGGGATTATTAAGGTCTTTCTTAGATCGTAGATCTCTCTCTTTCTCTCTCTTTCTCTTTCTCTCTCTTTGCATCGTCAAACGGAAACATCATCGTGAGAGAGAACTTTTAGTTCTTCGTCTTCTTCTATGTATCTATCGTCGCGATAGCAGCTGCTACCGGCAGCATTTAAAACCGTTACTCGCCGACAGCTCGTAGAGAATTCAATGTCATCGGCTCGTGAATTCAATTTGTTTTCAATTTGTTTAAATTTCTCTCTCGTAATAAAGTTTAATTTTCAAATTTACGAGAGTGCGCAATAAAACAAAAATCACCGAGAATAAAACCGATTGTAGGAAAGAAGATAAATATCGAAATTTATTGTTTTATTGTTGGAAGACAAAGAATGATTGTGATTTATGACTTCGAATTCGCGCGCCACAATCTCGGTGACAGTTTGTCTTCCGAATAGAACCGAATATTTTCTATGGACGAAACGCTGGTTGGCGCACACACGCGTACACACACACACACACACACATACATACATACATATACGTGCGCGATCGTTTCCCAGTAGAGGCTACTATAAGGCGCTCTCTCTCTCTCTCTCTCTCTCACCGGCTGATAGCCGCGCGGCACATGACCGCGTCCGGGACGGACGATAGAGGTCTTGAGTAATTTATCAGGGTGCCCTGAAAGGGCGT